GTTTCCTTGAAGTAAGGGGCGTACATTTATTAGTGCCTGTCTCGCCATGTTCAAGCCACTACTTTGCATTTAGAAATCCCCAGACGATTGGTGCTGAGATCTCTGATTTTCTGTAGCTACCTTGCACTGAGAATACATAATAGAACATTGTGAGAAAACTTGCATGCTGATTGCATCAGATTTCCTGCTACAGAATGACAACATGTTACATGATAATAACAGTACAGGACATTACAACGACTAAATTATGACATTTTAAAGGTTCCTTCATAACCTTGTTGTATAGAACAAAAAGTCTACTGACCATTTGTTTCCAACCGAGTGTGGTTCCAGGCTTATGAATTGCTGCCCACATCTCCAACTAGGTCTGATATTGTACTCATTGACTCCTGCTCCCCTAGTTAAAGAAAGAATTGACAAATTAGAGCTGTGTGGGTTAAGAATAGAGACATCTTTGTCCTGTGCCAGAGCCAGAATCAATTCTCCTCCCCAAAGTGTGGATAAGATCGACTCAGCTGTACTGGCTCTTTTAAGTCAACAAAATAAACACTTAAAATAAAAATAACAGTTCCTTATTTAGCATTTGAGATTCATGTTTGGGCCCCTTAAACAATTCACAATGAAATCAGAGGAAAGGACATGATGTGATAAATAGTTTTTTCCTCTTGGGAGCATGAATATGCTCAGCAATTTTAATAGAAATATCCGTATTAGATTATGTTATGTTGCATAAAGAGGGATCCTCTGGGGAGCATGAATGTGCTTTATAAATTTCATTGCCTGTTGGAATTTCCTGTACACATGTGGATCTGGTGAAAGGCAAGAAGGTCAACAAAAGATTTATCCTCTGTGGATCATGATTGATCGTGCCATATTTCAAGGAAATCTGCACAGCAGTTGTTGATATATTTTTGACTGGACTAAACCAGCCAACCATGTAACATTAACATCCATACGTCTTGCTGTGGGGTAAAAAAAGTCACAATTTTTTGCCTCGTCTGGAGATTTTTTTCCAGTTCAAATCTCATTGCACTGCTATCTGTGGTTGGCTTTAGGGCTTAGGTTAAGTTATGATTTATGTTCATAGAGAAGACTGGTTGGGTTGAAATATAAGGATTGGTTCAAGTTAGGGTAAAGTGAGACACAAATTGATGAGAAAATCTGACGCAACACCAGGACACTAAACATACCCTTTAACTTTGTGAAGCTCTGGGCTGTTTTGCATCAAGTAGCAAAAAACAGTGACTGTTAAGCTTTGTAAAACAATACTTATTAATCATTTACAACAACATCAGCAAACTGGGCAGCAAACTAAATGATTTCTTCATCTTAACGTGTTCTGAGGGTGGAGGTTGTGAAGAGGTTCAGTCATTGTTGATGAGCTCAGCTTTCTTTAGAAGAACATTGATTCACTGCTGTTTAGGAGACTCAGGACCACTCTAATCACAAACAGAGACTTAATTCTAAACTAGTGGAATTTAATGCTTTGGAAGCTAACCAACTATTGATAACAACTCTATTAAAGGGGTAATAATGTTGATGGAAATTCTAGTTTCCGTCTGCTGGATAAACCGACCATCCTGTTACTCATCGAGTCTGCAGTGTAGAAGACTTTGGGTTCATTAATGGGCAATTAATCAGCTTCCTTTATTCCACTCTACTTATACTACATTGTTTCTCTGCAATTTCTTTTGCTGCAATAAAATTCTTACATTTAAATGAAAACTGTCACCGATTCATTGTCCGACCAACTGCGAAATATGGTCATCAACTCTTGAGTTATGGTCAGAAAAACATGTGCGCAAGAATGGACTGACAACCCAAAAACATAATGCTGAAAAAAAAAAAATACCTCCGGCAATGGCTATCCCCAGGGGCAGAGGCATTAAATCTGAATGAATTTATAGAAATATTTTGCAATTGCACTTTAAAAAAAGTTAAAGGTAACAATACCTACTGTAAAGTATGCACCGGAGTAAGTTGTGAGACCTCTAGTGACAAAGTTAGTGATTAAGCTTTCTTCAGTCACATAATTTTACCTTTAATGCCAGTGAAGATGTCAACATTCCCAAACATACTAAATGTATTTTGTCAGGATTTAAGGTGTACAAAATCTTGCATGAAAATTTTTATTTCTTTCCATTCGAAGTAACAATGAAGCCCGAAAATGCTGTCCTGGATTTAATTAACTCAAAGCATGATATACACTGCTAGAGACAAATAAAGAATAAACCACACAAGTAAAATGTTCATAGTGTGGAGAAAAATACATGTGAAGCTACAAAAGCTTACATTTAAAGGGAAGGTCAAGATGGACAACAACAAAACGTCGGACTTCAGCATGGGAGATTGCTGCTTGTTTCCTGTTTCCAATAGACAGTGAACATTGTTTTAATTGTTGCCTAACCACAACATATTTATTATTGGAACAAAGATGTCAGAGTTCAACTAGCTAAGTGTTTTTTGTGCCTAAACCTAACCACAGCATCATGAAACAGATGTATTCTTCAACAGTAATTTGTAACGGTTTTGAAAGGCACAGACAATTGTCATCCTGACAGTGAGAGCATTTTTGTGTTTTAGAGGGCACGGATAAATTATTCATTTTGTTTTTTAATCTGGAGGATTTGTTATAAACTGGGGTAGGAACATTTTGAGAAGATTAAAAACCTCTTTAGTTATCTTCTCAAAACCAATAAGAATCATGTACTGCAGTACGCAGTGATAAGTAATAAATGTCATGGTAATGTTGTCTAGATATATCGCTCTAAACCACAAATTTGTGAGGGTGAAGTCAGGGATCACCAAAGTCAGTGGAAGTAATCATCCAGGCACCATGTCTGTACAGAATTTCAGGACAATCTGGCCAATAGGTGTTGAGATATTTCAGTCTGGACCAAAGTGGAAGATTGACTGACCAACATTGCTGTGCATAGCAACAAAAACTACAATTATATTTTAAAAAGCTCACTCCTGGATCATCCCCCATTACACAGCTCACATTTCAGCCAAGTCTGTTAGGATGTTCTTAAGAGGAGAAGGTTGTACAGTAGCTATAAGTACAATTACAGATTCATAAACGTAATGTTTTCACTGCTCATATAAATATCAAAGTGTGAATAAAGCTAAACCTGGGTGTTATTTGATACCAACAACACTATTCTTTAGAACCTGTGAGGCCGTTTGAAGCCCACACATCTTTTTTCTAATGTTGTGTTTGTTGACAACATTTCATCAATCCAGGAAATAAGAGTCCCTTGTTATGTGACATTTTGAAAGGACAAAGGATGAGATCATGCCAATAATTGCTTTAGTTCACTACTCAGCACTGTATCACTTCAGTAAGATGTAGTAGCCTCTCAGTTTAAAGAAAAGCTTAATTACAAGCAAGGGTGAAGTGGGTCTCACTTTCAGCCCTGGAGATATGTCAACTGGGAAAACGTTGCTAAGGAGACAATTAATTCAAAAACAACGCAAACACATGACCCTCAATGGAAAAATTAATTAAAAACATTTGACTCTAAAAAAATTACTTCAATGGCATCTTAAGTCACACAGTCAATAAAATTAAGAGAAATCAGCCTGATTTCTGCATTTTTTTCTGACAACTATTCTTGTCATATCCAGTTTAACTTTAATCTAATAATTTTTTTTATACAGTGTAAAGGCTGAGATGGACAGCAATTAAATTATGTCCAAATAAGAGTTAAATCAGTCAGAGACAACCAAGAACACACCAACAATCAGAGATACTGTTATAAGGAGATTAAAAACACGGCAGCCGTGTCTGCCGTAATAAAATATATATAAAAATATGAAATAAATCACAAGGAGAACTATTTTGTAAACTCACATGAAAAACTGACTGTAAAGTGTGTTTTTAGAAGGGATTTCAAAAGATGAAACAGATTTAGCTAGCCTAAATTTCCTGAGGTAGGCTTGTCCAAAGTACCGGTGCCCGAACAGAGAGAGCACGGTCTCCTTCATTTCTTGAGTCTGGATTGTGAGACAAACAAGAAAGGCCTTTCCTGAGGTTTTCTAAGGTTGCGTTCTGGCTCATAAAGAGTTAAAAGGTCGGCAATATAACTGGTAGTAAAAAAAAATACAAATTTAAACTCTTACTGGTAGCCACACATTGTTCCTTTCCGGCACTCCACCTTGTGTATATTGTCAAAAGTAAGCAGCTATATGAGCAACAGGTTGGGTCAATATAGGACTGTACCGAACTGGGGAGGGGTCACTCATTTACTTACCTACTGTAGCCCACAGTACCGGCTCCAAATGGTACAGGCTTCAAAATCCCAGGTCTCCCAATAGACCTTTTTTCAAAGCAGCCATTTTGACATGAAATAGCAGGGTAAACACAGGTATTACCAATGACAGTAATAAAGGTCCTGTTCCATTTAGTGT